TCTGCGTCTGCGTCAGGTCAGCTGTCCGCCCCCTGCTCGTGTCGCTCTCTGGCGCATGAGACTGTCCTTTGGCACCACCGCCTTGGTCACCCGTCTGTACAGCGCCTTCGGGCCATGCACAAACGGGACCTTGTTGCTGGTCTTCCCAGGGTACTCCCTCCCCTTCCAGACTCGCCTGCTCCTCCCTGTATTCCCTGTGTCGAGGGGCGGCAGCGCGCCGCTCCTCACTCCTCCTCCTTTCCCCCGACGACTGCTCCTTTGCAGACGCTCCACTTGGACGTGTGGGGCCCAGCCCGCGTCCGTGGCCAGGGTCAGGAGAGGTACTTCCTGATTGTTGTTGACGACTTCTCGCGCTTCACCACGGTCTTCCCCTTGCGCGCCAAGGGTGACGTCCCTGATGTATTGATCCCCTGGATCCGCAGATCTCGTCTCCAGCTCAGTGAGCGTTTCCGCTCCGACTTCCCTGTCCTGCGTCTGCACTCTGACAGAGGTGGGGAGTTTACCTCTGGCCTCTTGGAGGCCTTCTGTCAGCAGGAGGGCATTGAGCAGTCGTACACGCTTCCGGCCTCTCCACAGCAGAATGGGGTTGCTGAGCGCCGCATTGGTCTGGTCATGGAGGTCGCTCGTACCTCCTTGAGCCATGCGGCTGCCCCCCATTTTCTGTGGCCGTTTGCAGTCCGATACGCTGCGCATCAGCTCAACCTCTGGCCCCGTGTCTCCTTGCCCGAGACTTCTCCGACACTGCGTTGGACAGGAGAGGCTGGCGATGCGTCGCGTTTTCGGGTCTGGGGATCCCGAGCTTTTGTCCGCGACACGTCCGCGGACAAGCTCTCCCGTCGCGCTGTCCCCTGCGTCTTCCTTGGCTTTGTCCCGGACGCCCCTGGCTGGCAGTTCTACCACCCCACCTCGCGTCGTGTCCTGGCCTCTCAGGACGTCACTTTTGACGAGTCCGTCCCCTACTACCGCCTCTTCCCCTACCGCACTGCCCCGCTCCCCCCCCCGCCTCTCTTCCTCGCTCCAGGTGCTGAGGTACCAGACCCCCTCCCCCCTCAGGGTGCCGCTCCCTCAGGTGTGTCCCAGGTAGACCCGGGTGAGCCTGTCGAGGTAGCTGTTGACTCTCGTCCTGCTAGGGGTGCTGAGCCTGGGGGTGCTGCGTCTGGGGGTGCTGAGCCTGGGGGTGCTGCGTCTGGGGGTGCTGAGCCTGGGAGTGCTGAGTCTGGGGGTGCGGAGCCTGGGGGTGCTGAGCCAGGAGGTGCGGAGCCTGGAGGTGCGGAGCCTGGAGGTGCTGAGCCTGGGGGTGCTGAGTCTGGGGGTGCTGAGTCTGGGGGTGCTGAGCCTGAGCGTGCTACACCTGGAGGAGCCCTCTCCTCCCAGCAGCTGCAGGAGAGGTACCTCGAGTACTGCCGCCTCCGGAGAGGTGCTGCTGGAGCTCGTCCCGGTACTTCCCCTCCTACCCAGGAGCTCCCCCCCATTCAGCAGATCCGAGAGTGGTACACACGCCGCTGCAGTCTTCAGAGTGGTGCTCCTGGTGCTGCGGACCCTGGGGGTGGCGCTGCTACTGGTGCTGAGGACCCGGACGTTGGAGCTGCTGCTGGTGCTGCGGACCCGCCTGGTGGAGCTGCTGCTGGTGCTGAGGACTCGGACGTTGGAGCTGCTGCTGGAGCTGAGGACCCGGACGGTGGCGCTGCTGCTGGTGCTGAGGACCCGAACGGTGGAGCTGCTGCTGGTGCTGAGGACTCGGACGGTGGAGCTGCTGCTGGAGCTGAGGACCCGAGCGGTGGCGCTGCTGCTGCTGCTGAGGACCCGGGCGTTGGAGCTACTACTGGTGCTGAGGACCCGGCCGGTGGAGCTGCTGCTGGTGCTGTGGACCCGGACGCTGGAGCTCCTACTGGTACTGAGGACCCGGCCGCTGGAGTCTCCTCTGCTTCTGGAGACGCTGCGCGGCCGCGACCGTACTTCGTACCGCTCCTTCAGCAGGTTCTTGGGCAGGCTCCTCCTCCTTGTCCTCCTCCCTCCGTAGAGTGTCCCCCGCCTGTCCAGCCGCAGTCACAGTTACCGCCTACCTCGCCTGAGTCTCGTCCTGCGTCGCCTGTTCGTCCTGCTCGCACTGGTCGTCGTGTCCGTCGTGAGCGTCCTCCTCCTGTCCCAGGCACTCACTACATGACTCTGCGTCCCTCTACTGCTCCTCAGCGTGTCCCTCTACCGTCTCCTCCTGCGTCCTCTTTGCCTGACGTTCCGGACCCTGAGTCTGACCGGTATCGTGCTGAGCACCCTACTGTCACGCGTCTCCTCGCTACTGTTGTCACCGACCCTACCTTTGAGTCCTCGGCTGCGTCTGCTCTGGTCGCTGAGTTGGTTGACTGTTGCCTGTCGTCTAGACTACGCTGCTAGCCTTGTTGCTGAGTCTGATTCTGAGTCTGTCTGTCCTCCGTCCGTCGGGGGTGAGTGTGCTCTTGGCACGGACGTCCTTGAGGACAGACAGGAGGAGTTCCAGTGTCTTGCTGCTGCTTTGCCCCGTCTCGTGTCCTTGCTAGTTGCCCCTGAGGGAGACCCGGATGCACCAGACATCCCGACCCCGCGCACTTACGCTGAGGCGATGGCGGGTCCCTACTCCTCTCAGTGGCAGACAGCCATGGACGCCGAGATGGCTTCCTGGAAGTCCACACGCACCTACGTCGACGAGGTTCCCCCTCCTGGGGCGAACATCGTCAGTGGCATGTGGATTTTCAGGGTGAAGCGGCCGCCGGGTTCTCCGCCTGTCTTCAAGGCGCGTTACGTGGCTCGAGGCTTCAGTCAGCGAGAGGGAGTTGACTTCTTCCAGACCTTCTCCCCCACCCCGAAGATGACTACTCTTCGGGTGCTGCTGCACATAGCCGCTCACCGCAACTACGAGCTTCACTCACTTGACTTCAGCACTGCTTTCTTGCAGGGCAGCCTGCACGAGGAGATCTGGCTGTGCCGCCCACCTGGCTTCACTGGGTCGTTTCCTCCTGGTACCCAGTGGAGGCTTCAGCGGCCGGTCTACGGTCTCCGCCAGGCTCCGCGTGAGTGGCACGACACACTGAGGACTACACTTGCGGCTCTTGGGTTCGCGCCTTCTACAGCTGACCCGTCGCTGTTCCTGCGCACCGACACTTCGCTGCCGCCGTTCTACATCCTCGTGTACGTCGACGACTTGGTCTTTGCTACTGCTGACACTGCCGGACTCGCCTACGTGAAGTCGGAGCTGCAGAGGAGACACACGTGCACAGACCTGGGTGAGCTGACAAGCTATCTTGGCTTGCGGATCACCCGGGACAGAGCACGGCGCACCATCACCCTGACTCAGTCACACATGGTGCAGCAGGTTCTCCAGCGCTTCCGCTTCACGTACTCCTCGCCTCAGTCCACTCCTCTGCCTACCGGTCACTCGCTCTCAGCTCTGCCTTCGGATGAGTCCGTAGAGCCGAGTGGCCCGTATCCAGAGCTTGTGGGCTGCCTCATGTACCTGATGACCTGCACTCGACCTGACCTTGCATACCCTCTTAGCATCCTTGCACGCTATGTCGCTCCTGGCCGTCACAGGAAGGAGCACATGGATGCCGCTAAGAGGGTGTTGCGCTACTTGTGCAGTACGTCGGGCATGGGGCTTGTGCTTGGAGGGCGAGACCGAGTTGTTCTCACAGGGCACTCAGACGCTTCTTGGGCAGACGACCAGGCCACTCAGCGGTCGTCTCAGGGTTACACCTTCAGCCTTGGCTCTGGCTCAGTTTCTTGGCGCTCTACACGCTCTTCTTCTGTTCTCGGCTCCAGTTGCGAGGCTGAGATCTACGCTACAGCCATGGCTGCCCAGGAGCTACGCTGGCTGACCTACCTGCTGACCGACCTCGGAGAGCGGCCTCGTTCTCCTCCAGTACTGTACGTCGACAACAAGGCTGCCATTGCCTTGTGTGAGGAGCACAGACTGGAGCACAGAACGAAGCACATCGCCCTGCGGTACTTCCTTGCTCGTGAGCTGCAGCAGCGCGGTCAGCTTTGTATTCGCTACGTGGCCACTGAGGCCAACACTGCTGATGTGTTCACCAAGGCGCTTCAGCCTCGTGACCATCAGCGCTTCTGCACTCTACTAGGCCTTGTGCCTACTGGACCTCACTTACTTACCTCTTGACTTTGCTTGTACTGTGATCACTATATATATCTATACCTGCATGTTTACTCTTGCTAGGTTGTGATCACTGTATCTCTTGCTCTGTTATAAACCTGCATGTGAACTGGTCTTGTGACCACTAGCTTGTGCTCGGAATTTGTGTGGAATCCTTGAGATCCACCCTGAGCTTGTTGTTGCCTTGCTTTGCCTTGACTGGTCTTGTGACCCCTAGGTCTCCCCCACTTTGCCTATGGGGGTGTGTCAAACATTATACATGTTGTATTTGTGTAGGCTGTAGTGGGTTAGCCTATAGGGGGGTCACAACATTAGGGTTTCATATTTGTACTCACAATCCTTGTTAGTTCATCATTCCAGTCTGTTATTACTGACACTAATTTGGTTGTACCCCATATGGGGCACTAATTTGGTTGTACCCCATATGGACACTACAGCCTAGACAATATGCAGCACATACAGTTTGACACTGTTGCAGATCGGATGCACTTTCCTCCGTTCCCATACTTCACTGATGCACACTTGTCTGCGATGAAAAGCACGTAATCATAGATCCTGCCACCTTCATCCAATGTCAAAGTTGCGTTTTGAGTTTATGTAACTGAACATACGGTACATAGTTATATTCTTGGAAGAGGCACTTCACCAATCGGTAAAATTATGCGTGCAGTTTCCGAAAGATTTGAGTAATACCGTACAAGCTTATCCATTCAATGAGACAAGTGGAACAAGAGAAACAGGTGGATCAAGCTTATTAGAAGATTATGAAACATCCTAACAGAGAGGGAAAGAGTACAGGGGGCAGCGAGACTACTGTATCTCAAGCACAGCCTTCCATTGTCGTCGAGTGCTAAGATCCTCAGACGCCGCCAGCGTTGTTCATCCAATAGTCCGGTATTATCGTACCATTGCACCACATAGATCTGTACTGCTGCAAGGGTGGGGAAACAGCCCTGTAAAAGATGGTGCACGGAAAGAAACAAAAGGAAATATTGAATGAGATGGATGGGCCTGATCAAAGAGTGGGCATCATGGTACGGTAGAGAAATTTGACACAGATAGTGTAGAGGAAATGCAGAATGTGGATTGATTCACTATAATTACCCACTCACGTATATGTGAACGCCCAGAAATTTGAAGCATCGTCGTATCCTTTGTGCAGAGGGGTTGAGGTGCAGTTATCGGTATCGTAAAGCCGCCAGCTACGACACATCGGAGCGTCGCCGATGCCATGCACATGGAACTCAACCGTGTAATTCCCAGCCACCTCCTTCGGGAACTGAGTGCAGCCCTCCCTGTAACGGAAGGTGTAAGGCTTGGATGCCTTGTCTTTGGCTGTGGGATCCTGGATGAGTGTTATGCTGTAGCCAAGCACTTCATCAGGTGCACCTGAGAATGGGGATATTGGAATTAGAATGGGGGTAATCATAAGAGAGTGGTATGATGCAAAGACTGGGGATAGGAAAGGAATGTGGAGGCAAAACGCCCACATGAGTTGACTATAGGAGGTTAAAAGGGGCTGTAGGAGGTTAAAGGGACTGTAGAACCCAAAGTTACAAACTGGGTCACAACTTCTGGTCGACAATCTCTCAACTTCACAGTCTGTCAGTCACCTCTACTGCACCTTGTCAGCCTTCATCACATGCAGAGGCAGGGGAATGCAGCGTGGGGTGCAGAGAGTGAGAAGACAGGAAGCTATTGGACCTCACTCACCCTTGACGCACTCCGTTGGGGTCATGCCATAGCCCGCGGGGCACTCGCAGACTGGCACATCCACTTTGGGAGGTTCAGTGTACCCCACGCCAGTCAAATTCATTCCCTGGACGAATCGGCAGGTGGCTCCTGAGGGGCAGGCGCCACAGGGTGAGTCTGAGCAACACAACAAGCAAGGGGAGATCACAGCAGGGTAGCGAGATGGCGGGATGAGAACGATGACACGGTAACTTTCACGGGCTCTTTCAGTGGACCACAGTAGCTTGTGCATGACAAGCACGGAAGGCTGAGTTGGGTGCACAGGAAGGTAGGAAGCATGCTTACTCCATTTGCAAGAGCGAGCGCCGTTGTTGTTCACACACACCCCTTCCGGTTCGCAGCCCAACACGTAGCAAGCCGTTTCTGGTGGGAGTGGATGAAAGGATGGGGTGGAAAAAAGAAGAGCAAAAATGGTAAGGGATGATTCTTGAAGAGAGAAAGGCGGGCAGAGCATGCGGGCAGAGCATGCGGGCAGAGCATGCGGGCAGAGCATGCGGGCAGAGCATGCAGGCAGAGCATGCGGGCGGAGCATGCGGGCGGAGCATGCGGGCGGAGCATGCGGGCGGAGCATGCGGGCGGAGCATGCGGGCGGAGCATGCGGGCGGAGCATGCGGGCGGAGCACGACAAGCCCTCTGCAACTCACCAACGCAGATCAGCTTGTCAGGAGGCATCTGATAGCCCGCATTGCACGAGCAGGTTGGGTCTCCGTTGTCCTTCTTCACACACTTGCCGTTAGGCCCACAATTCACCTCAGCACAGGTGTCTGCAAAAAAACCGCGCAAAAGGGAGAACATTGTCGAACCGCGGTAGTTATAAAGACTTGGGTTTTAGCGCAAAATGTCATGGTGACTATGTTGCACTCCTGCAACCCAACCCACCGACGCAAGTGAGGTTGTCAGAAGACGGCTTGAATCCGGTGGTGCAGCTGCAGAACGGATTTCCGGCCGCATCCTGCTCGCACTTGCCGTTGGGCCCACAATTCACCGAAGCACACTTATCTGCCGTGAAAACAGATATACAAAAAGAGGGATTTCAGAAAAGAGCTATGCAAACTTATCTGCCGTGAAAACAGTGCATAAATCCCGCAAGACGGTTAAGACGAACCCTGATGTTTAGGCTTCGACGAATCTGAAGCCTCAAGGGGAGACCTCTGCAAACTCACCAACGCAAACCAGCTTGTCAGGAGGCATCTGGTATCCCACGTCGCACGAGCAGGTTGGGTCTCCGTTCTCCTTATACACGCACTTGCCGCCGGGCCCACAATTCACCGCCGCACAGTTGTCTGCAGTGCAGAACAGACAAGACAGGCAAGAGGGAGGATACTATCACATCAAAAGACAGACGAATCCGAATCTTGAAAGTGTTGAGCATTACAGGGTTGGCTATGCATGCATTTCAGCAACCCCAGAAATACGGTCGAGGGGAGACCAAATGAAAGAAGTGCAGAACCCGTGCAATCCACTAGTGAATTCCTCGTGCTCAGGAACGGCATAGATCAAATGCAAGGACTGTGCGTTGCACTCCCCCAACCCACCAATGTGTTAGAATATCTCCTCTCTTGTAACCTGCATATATGCTATAGGATAGGCTAGAGATAAGCACCCAAACTTAGTTTGGGTGTACAAGCAGGGGTTACCCAATTTGTAGGTTGGAAACCCAACCTTGGTCCAATTATTGGACCCCAAGGGTTGGGATGGGTAGAATTATTGGTCCCCTCCAATAATGTTGGCCCAACTCCAACTTGGCCAACATTATTGGACCCCACCAATAATCTCCCAACCCAACTCCTTGGTTGGGGTCCAATAATGTTCACCTAGGCTAGTTTCCAACCCATCTCCTATGTAAACCCCCCATCCTTTTCAATCAATCCATCAACTTCTCTTCTAACTTTTCTTCTCACATGGTATAGAGCTCTTAAAAATCCTAGGCCTACGCTCCTAGTTTTTTTCAAAGGCCGCCGCAACCCCCGGCCTCCTTTCTCATTTTTCCGCGGCTATCTCGCCACCCTCCCCCTCTCCTCAAGCACTCCCTTCCTCGCAGCCCCACGGCCTCCCACGCCATCACGGCTCGCGGCCCCACCGCCGCTTCCGCGCTCGCCTTGTCGCGGTCCCGCCGACCGCCACCGCCCGCCCCATTCCGCGGCCTCGACGCCGCCTCCGCGCCAACGCCACTGCGGCTCCACCAGCCGCCGTCGCCGCCGCCGCTCCCTTCCGCGGCCTCGTCGCCGCCTCCGCGCCTGCACTGCCGCGGCTTCGCCAGCCGCCGCCGCTCGCGCCGCTCCCTCCCGCGACCCCGTCGCCGCTTCCGCGCCTGCACTGCCGCGGCCTCGCCAGCCGCCGCCGTCCGCGCCGCTCCCTCCTGCGGCCTCGTTGCCGCCCCCGCGCCTACGCTGCCGCGGCCTCGCCAGCGCCGCAGTTCGCGCCGCTCCCTCTCGCGGCCTCGTCGCCGCCTCCGCGCCTGCACTGCCGCGGCTTCGCCAGCCGCCGCCGCTCGCGCCGCTCCCTCCCGCGACCCCGTCGCCGCTTCCGCGCCTGCACTGCCGCGGCTTCGCCAGCCGCCGCCGCTCGCGCCGCTCCCTCCCGCGGCCTTGTCGCCGCTTCCGCGCCTGCACTGCCGCGGCCTCGCCAGCGCCGCAGTTCACGCCACTCCCTCTCGCGGCCTCGTCGCCGCCTCCGCGCCTGCACTGCCGCGGCTTCGCCAGCCGCCGCCGCTCGCGCCGCTCCCTCCCGCGACCCCGTCGCCGCTTCCGCGCCTGCACTGCCGCGGCTTCGCCAGCCGCCGCCGCTCGCGCCGCTCCCTCCCGCGGCCTTGTCGCCGCCTCCGCGCTTGTACCACCGCGGCTGCGCCAGCTGCCGCCGCCGCCTGCGCCTCTCCGCGGCCCCATCGCCGCCTCCCCGCTAGCGCCGCCGCGGCCTTGTCAGCCGCTGCCGCCAGCACCGCTCCCCTCACGGCCTCGTCGCCGCCTCCGCGCCAACGCCACCGCGGCCCCACTAGCCGCCGCCGTCCGCGCCGCTCCCCTCTGCGGCCTCGTCGCCGCCTCACCTCCCTCCCCTCCGTGACCACTGCGGGT